ATTTGGGTAGATAATTAATCAAAAGATCAACATGCGTGCTTGGTTGCAGGCATCCACACCAAGTGAAGTGTTGGGCTCCCGGGCTCCTGGTGACACAAACATGTACCAAAAACTGGGGGAAGTGTGGGCTTCCACCCTGACCCGGTCAAAGTGGAGCCCAAACACGGCCCCACCCAGTTTGAGATGGACGTACAAGGTCGAGAAGAAGCCTTCCACCCTGACCCGGTCAAAATGGAGGCCAAACACGGCCCCACCCAGTTTGAGATGGACGCACAAGGTAAAAAAGAAGCCTTCCAGCCTGACGCGGTCAAAATGGAGCCCAAACACGGTCAACAAAGAGCCTTCCACCCTGACGCGGTCAAAATGGAGCCCAAACACGGTCAAAAAAAGACCCTGCCCGGCATGTAGTATGCAATCGGAATTCGTTGCAGGTTTGAGGGGGTGCGTCTGGAGGGACAAGAAATAGAAGTTGAGTATCTATCACAAAGGTATTCGCACATACATGCAAACAGTGAGATCCTTAGTGTATGGGCCCCCAACCACAATTTTAAGCCCGTGGTGTTGTTCTGCCTGTAGCTTTTGGTGCATATGCTCAGACTTGCATGAAGCAAACCTCAACATGTAAACGCCTCGTAGGGTTCCAAATCAAAACCTCAAGTGCCCTATATAGCAACGAATCTTTCAGAGACGAAGAGAAGGCCACTTCACCCGCCGGAGGAGGATGGCTGAAATCGGCATTGGACAATTAAAAAAAGCCTTTTCGCACGTCCTAACTCTGGACTCATCAGGTTTTTGGCGCAGGTCACCTTGGTCCATCGCAGTCCATCTTGGTGATCCTCCGTTGTGGGTGGACTGGCTGTACTATTGATAGCTGGTTTGTTGAGCTCGAGGTTTATGGTTGCATGATGGTCAAAAGGTCTTGGTAGTCCGAGGTCTTCTCCATGCTAAACGCTCTTTACACCGTTTCCCATCTGTACGGCATATGGATGCTGGCTGTGTTTCCCAACATGATGGCCGAGAGCAAGAAATAAACAGCAAATTGCAATCCCAGCAATAGATACATGACCAGAGTGCATGCAACCTCAAACAGCCTATTAAGGAATGGTAGCATGTGTGATTAATCAAGCATTCCGCCTGGAGGTTAATTGTCTTTGGACCGTCAAGAACCTAAGGGTCCCGCCTTGTCCGCCACCTAACCCCATGCAAACAGAGGGTGACCTGAAGTTGCGCGTGGCGGGCTTCGGCGTGGGACCAGACCACGTGGAAGCTTCAGGTGGGCTTTGCGCAGGTTTCCTACAGCTTTAGAGCTCAGAGGCTAGGATTAAGCGGTTGGGGGTTAGGGTGGGGAGAATGCCATTTGGCATTGTCGGTCTTAACAGCCTTACCTACTCTATACAAAGTGGCATGGAATCCCAAAGGGGGCTTCTGGGCCCCTATTCTTCTCCCACCAAAGAGGGGCTACAGAACAAGCTTGGCGTGCAGTTTTCGGGTCACTTTGGTGGCTAATGTGGGAATCGACTTGTAGGCAGCAGGTTCGGACACCCACTCGTTCGTCCAGACCTCATGGAAATGGATGCCAGCAATAGCTCTGATCCTGAGTTGGAAGTTGGAAATAGGCAAGACAAACAAAACTCGAGTTTTCAATGGTCAGATAGGAATTTGGATGGTGCCTCGTACTTGTATACGCTAATCCAAGATCTTATCCCTACAGTCCGGCTACTGAGCCTCAGTTAGAAGTGGGGCATTCCGGTGATAGCAATGCAAATACTAGAATACAATACTATGCTACTAAAATACTATACTACTATAATACTAGAATACTACAATACTATGATACTATAGTGGTTTCCATATTCTTTTCTGTTCTCCCTATATTACCCCATTATACTAAACCATAAACCCTAAACCTATAGCATAAACCTTCAACCATCCCAGCAGCCCGGCACAGCAGCAGGCGCAGTTGATGTCAACGTCTGCCGTGAGGTTGGACAGTTTAGGGTTGAGGGTTCAGGGTCCAGGGGACAGTAGATTCTGAATTCCGCGTGAACAGCCTTTGGAGAAAGCCTGTTTCGTGGTTGAAGATTTCACCTTTGAAGTCTGCTGTCTTGAATGCGGTGTATCTGCAGCATTGTGCAAGGGCTGGAGGAGTGGTGTTTGGCTGGGGCTCAAATTTTGTGTTAGCAGAAACGCCGTCCCCTCCTCCAAACTAGCATGAAACACCAAACAGGTCCTATGTCTCGTGGAAACAAAGGTAGATGGTCAGGCGTGTGACGTTCCTAGGCACCCCCGCCGAATGTCTTCCTGTGGGCATGGGGGCTGAATCCCCATGACGGTCGGCAATTTTCAGACCTGCCCCATCTCAAAGTGTCAACAATCACGGGGGGATGAGGCGCCTGGCAGGCGCCATCTCGTACTTGTCGTCACGTTTTGCATGTGATTTCTCTGGGTGATCCCAAACTTGCAGGGATGGGGTGCGAGGCACGATCTTCGTGACTGGCATCTCCTATTTGAATATCTTCAATTTCCGAAGAAGTCTACAGACATATCTAGAAAGCCCTCCCACCCACCCCACCCACACCCATGGGAGGGAGGAGAACCACACGCATGTTCATGCCCTTGAGGGGGAGTCTAGCTGCCAGGCGACAGACTACCCATTGGGGTAATATTAGGGTTATATTAGGGTTATATTGAGATAATGGAAAATAACATGGAAACCACTATTTTTGATTTAGGGTTTAGGATGCGGATGATCTGCTGGGTTCCAAAGGGCTCAGGTGAGCATGAGTGCTGAGATCATTCTCTAAGTCTGCCAGCCAATTTTTTGTACAGGTGAACACATGAGCTCTCGTTTGCAACCGAATCCACATCACAAAGCATGCGGCAGAGGCACACTCGAGTTTTGAGTAGCATTGTGCCGAAGTTCTGGAGGTGGGCAACATCTATGGTGCGGCTGCGGATGCACTGCGTGCTCTCTTTGGTGCGGACCACGAGTTTTATGCGCCCGGGCGACTGTCGAGCAACAGGCTTTCCGTTTGCTGTCTCTTCTGAGCTTGACACATCTAACGCCGCAGCAATGCAGAGACTCAGCTCAGACTAGCGTAGCCGTCATCCTCCAGCGACACTATAAAATTGAGGGCCCACGGATGCTTTACCAGAGAAGACTGCGGCGAGAACCGAATCAACGCATGCTCAAGTAAACCTGAAAACTTGCAAGCTGCAGACTTCAGCCCACGCTTGGACTGAGCAGTCTACATTCCCAACCCCTCTGAGGAATCTAGGGTTTAGGGTTTAGGGCTGTCACGTGGTAGCACTTACCAAGTCCCCATGTTCAGCCGCCAGATCATCCTAGGCTGGGCAATCTAAAGCAACCTCACCCGACCTCGCCCTAAATGGTGGTTGCTATAGGGAATAGCACCATTGGGAACTGAAATTATTCTAAATTACCCTGCTTGTTTATCAGGTTTTCCCTATAACCGTATAGCAACCCGAATTATCCCCATTATTAACCTACTTACTACGTAGGCAATCTCGATTTCCGATCCTCAATGCGCTTGGTTCACATCAGTCCTGCTCAAACCTGTCACCGTAAGCACTTGACAATCCTTGAGCATTCCCCCAATACAGTAACTTCCATTAAGTCACCATAATGGATACATACAGTAATCTATAAGGTTTCCCCATTTAGTAACCTAAGATTAAGTTCCTCAAATCCCTGTATTTACCCAGTTTCAATTTCATTGTCCATGTTCTTTTCCATTTGCTCCTCCATCATAGGGGGAGAAGATAGTGACTTAAGTCAAGCAGAGCTGCTGTTCCCGGAACTGCTGGCAGTAGAATGCGCTCAAGATGCGAACCTTTCACTAATTATGAGCAGGTGATATTCTCGCGAATCTTCGCTGATGCGTGAGCATTATACTGTATTCCCACACATTTTGATGGTGTCACCAGCTATTGGAACGTACATGGGTTATACGGGATAATTCCGGGAACTCAAATAATGACCCCACCTTTACCTTCGCGTGAACCTTCGAATTGTTCCCGCGTCCTGCGCAAGTGTGACGGCCTGCGCTCACTCAGGTCGCGATCCGTGACAAGCGCGACGCACTGCGCGAAATTGGCGCCAGTGGGTTGGACAGTCCAAAGGATGCGACTGGGACAGGAATGCCGTGGATGTCTAGAAGTATTTTCGTCTTTGCTTATTAAATTTCACAAAGCTTTGGCTTTTGTCAGCCTTCAGGGCAGGTGTAGAGAAATAAGTGCAAGCTCTTTCTGTCCTTTGCTTTTTAGGGCCGGCCATGGCACCGATCCATACTTAGTAAAGACTTGGCAACCCCGAGACTCAAGCCAAGACGTTGAAACCTTCAAGGTAAATGACTTATGTGCGGACTCATGAGGATGCTTCTGGGTTAATATGGTTCAGATTAGGCGAGAGGATTATCCATGGCCTCTCAAGTCAAGTACTCTCTTGTGCTGCAATCACCAGGGTGCTACCGGGGTGTTAAGTAGTACTCAGGTGGATGCTGATCGTTGCCATTAGCTTGTGACATGTACGCTTCTCGAAATCACAGCTGCCTTTTCGGAGTAGCATCTGGGCCAATCCAAAAAAGTCCGCAAGTGTCAGGGGGACCCCTTTTGTGGGTCAACCTTAAGGATCCTGTTACCTCACATCAACGCACTTGCTTACAGGAAAAGACCCTTTTGTTGTCTTCCTAGAATGTTGGGAATGCTCGTTCGGATATTCTCTATAAGACTATATGTTATGTTCTATAATTCTCTACGTCCTAAATACGTTTGAGACATTTCAACATTGTTCCCAAGGTCACAAACCGCGCGAGGCCCGAGGAGACCTGGTAAAAGGCAAGCAAAAAGTGGGGAGGTCCAATGGCTGGACTCTAGAGGTGCAAGTGTCCAAGATTTCGGGCATTGGGCCTAGAGCTTCCAAAAGAGCATACGAAGGCCCCATTTGGGGCCAATATCTATCAGATCGAGGGCCCCTTAGTTCCTTGAACGGTGGAGAAGTTTCCCTGTAACAGACAAGATTCAGATCGCGCCAAGCCACTGATTGTTTGCAAGGGGCTTTCGAATGCATAGGTATGTCTCGATGCACATAGGGCTGACGATGGTTTGGGAGTTCTCAAAATTGTGGGTACTGTGGTGGTGGGTCCCGTGATCAAGGAGAATGACGCCTCAGATGCGTGAAGTTGTGTGATTAATACCTGTTAGAACAGACCCTAAACCCTAAACCCTGTATTTCTTACTTTCCAGGCACATCTAAATCAACCGTGCTCGGATCCCATGCGTCAGCCAAGGTTCTCCTGCATTCCTCCATGGGTCTGGGTAGGGTTTAGAGTTTAGGGGAGAGCGCAAAAATTCAGGGGTTGTTTGGAAGCTCGGAACGGCGGCTACTCCCCCTAACTTCCCACCAGCTGGAGTCAAACTAGCTTAGCGATTTGCTCTTCGCAAAAGATCAGGGTCAGCATGCTGTCCAAGAATTATGGATGTCGAAATCTTGTCGTAATGTTCACAGGTGCCTATGTAACCCGCCTTCCCTGAAGTGAGCAAAAACCAATGTGCTTGCGCAGAAGTGGCGACGCACTTTTGGTCTAGGGTTCCGACTGCCACAAGTGGCCGAGCTTTTCACTGAAAACATTTCAGGCCAACTTTTGGGTGGTTGGACTCTGCCGCAACACGTGCAGCTTCTGGGTAATTCCGGATGTGTCAAACTCACACTGACAGCATGGGTCATGCCGCTTGAAGCAAAGATATCCAACACACCATTAGCTTACCTAGTTAGGAGTTGGGATTGGGCTTCCAGGGCCTTGCAAGCTGGCGCAAGCCACCGTCTATCAGCTGAATTAGAATACAAAATCGCCATTGCCGATGCCATGGGCGACGATGCGGAGGTGCGGCGGGGCAGGACCTAATCATTGTCCATGAACCAGTGCCGGCGTTTTGCCGTTGTCGAAAGTATAGGACCCAGAGAGCCCAATATCCTTTAATTAAGGAATACACCCTCAATGGTACCAAGCTCCGTAGCATGAATTAAGCTATATGGTAGTTTCCATAAATAGAGGGACCCCTATGTAGAGCCCCCAAAATACAATAGTCCTTATTATGGGGAAACCCTTCTATTCCTTAATTAAGGAATATATACCCTCAACGGTAGCAAGGTCCCTAATATGAATTAAGCCATATTCCTTAATTAAGGAGTATATATATACCCTCAAATGGTACTAAGGTCCCTAATATGAATTAAGCCATATCCCGTATATACCCCCTATATAACCCATATATTCCCTCTGTAGAATCCCTCTATTCCTTAATTAAGGGGTATTGGGCTCCCTGATAAAGCCTGAGCTGACTTCAGCCCACTTTCAGGGCAGAAGTGAAACCGAAGACGCAAGGTCACTCTGGATGACGTCGTGGATCAGATACGAAGTCTCATCGACAGGATCTGCCCGGGTTGGGCAGCAAAGGGCGACAGCAAGGGTTCGGGTAGGGTTCCTGAGGAATATTGTTTTTTGTGGTATGTGCGGTGTGCAAAAGATCTCGCCGAATCCTACCTCATCGCAGCAGAAGTAGTTTGACGTTTCTCGATCCTCTTGGTAAATCAGCCGTTTTCTACTCTGTTGCTCTTAGACACGGATAAAGCAGGTTGCATGCGATTGTGGGTCTGGATAGGGCTACCGTCTGCCCCACCGGCTTCGATACTCTGGTTTCGTAGCCTTAGGGTTATATAGGGAATCTGGTAATACACCATATGGTGTATATGGGGATAAAGGAAAATAAAATGGAAGCCGCTATTTGGGGTTTAGGGCATGTTCAAGTCGAGCCTACCCTTGAGTTCTTCTGTTGTATGAGAAGCAGCCTACGCTGGCTCCTGTTTAGCGCCTGCCGGAGCGCTGAGAACAACTTTCAAGTTTCTCGAGGTCTCCATGAATCGAACAAAGTTGCCTCTATCTGGGTTCAATGGCAGGTATACCTAGCACCACGTGCCGCATTATCCGCAATCTCACGTTTCTGCCCCACGAGCCCGATATGGAGTTGCAGCGTCTTTGAAGTGAATCAAGGGCAGCGTTGAGGACAAGCAAGCAGGCAAACAGCAATACTTCCTAGGAGTCCAAGGAACCACGCAGTTTTCGATTTTGGGGCTTAAGGTTCAAGAACCCGATAGTACTTTGTATCTGCTTGTTGACATATGACCCCATGTGGCCACATGCTTGGAAGACATGGATAATCAGGCCTTTCCGAGACTTGAACAGCAACCCCAAACCGGAAGTGACTTGCCTTCACCCTAGCGGGCGCAGGCTACTGCTCGAACAGGAGAAGGCTGTACTAAGGTCGCTCCCGTTGGAGGAGCTGTGGGGCTCAGATGGAACTGCAATAGTCCCCTTTAAGTAGATAGAATATGAGGTATATAGGGATCTTGTTATAATTTACCTACAGCCATATTCTATCTACTTCAGGGGGGAGTATAGGTCCATGTTGTCAAAGCAGTCGTTCTGCAGGGACCTGATAGGAGCCCCTTCGGAGTTCTCGATGAGCTTGGGGGAGAGCACAGACTTTATTCTTTCAGGCTTTAGGGTTTAGGGTTTACGCGTAATAAGCAGGCTCAGCGTAGGTCGCCATTTGAGTTTTTCTGTTAAGGCAGGGTCTGACCTCAGGGTACATTAGCCAAACTCTCTAGCTAAAACTCTTGGACTTCGGTATCCTAGGGCAGATGCTTCAGACCACTGTCGAATTCTGCTTGCATGTTGTCATGTGACCCGCCCATAGGTAGCCAGGGAATGAAGGTTTAAGTTCTTGGCTGTGCGTGGATTTGAGACTCCGAATAGCCTTTGCTAAACCTCCAACACGTGATCCTTCACGAATTCCTCTCCTTACCGAGGGTGTTTGCTTCTGAGCTTTGGCGCCTCAACTGTCTCGGTAGCGAACAGCGACTTGGGGGTAATGTGGGAGCTGAAATGATGAGAAGAGCGTTGTAGAGTGCCCCGTTCTTGTAGCGTGCAAGGATCAGACGGGACCATATTGCGAACTATTCAATACTCTCTTGAGAAGTGAAGATGCGCCTCTTCGTTCACGGGACTGGAGGAAAATCTTAGCTTTGGAAGTGCTTGGGGCCGTGGACTGCCAGAAGCAAGTCCCTCTCCGTGCATATTCGATACTTTGGAGTGGTGCGGGGGCTATCATGCTAGCAATTCAGCATGTTGGCTGTTCGCGCCCATACTTCCCATGAAATTAAAATTGCACTCAAAAAAATGCCTCCGCGGTGAAAAGTTTTTCTCTTTTTGTTGGGGAGGTGTGTGTGTGTGTGTTGTTGTTATGGCCCCATGTAGAGTTTTAAGGGCGCTGCTCGATTGATTTCAGTCAAGCTGGACGGAGATCAACGATTTGCAGGAAAGTTTTTCTCAAGATCTTCACTCCATGGTCGTGAGTCCAGGCTCCAAGGTATTAGGGTTGAATTCGATTGGAGATGGTGGATCATTTAAGATCCTCTATATAAACTTGCGTGGGGAGCTTCAATCTATTGATCAATTAATTTTGTGCCCAGTTGTTCTACCTTCCTGTAAACGCGCTTTCGTAAACCCATCAACAGTTTAGGAAACAAAGAAAGTCCTTGATTGCAAATAAATGTCCCTGCGGCTCACTTACAGGAACTCCTGTGGATGGTGAAAGATATTCCTGTTGTAATTCCCATGAACGTTCCATTTGTTTGTTGTAATTCAAATCTTGATTAAAAGACTGCGAACAATGAAGAAGAGCAAAGGGCAAGGAGATCCCTAATCCCCTTTCATTCCTCCCTATTACAACCCTGATCACACATAGGCCCTTTTTGAATAGTCTTCCGTGTAGAAAATCTCCCAAGATTTAGGTCTCCGGATTTCGTCTGTATTGTCACGCAGATTTTACTATTCCGGAAAGATGTGTGAACAGGATCAGCAACACCAACAACAAGCATGGATGCTGGAACTACTGGGCTGATTTGTTTGGGGCTTGCTCCTGGTCACAAAACAGGCGCCATCTGAAGGCTGAGCTGGAAAGAGAAAAACATGTTCTGCACTATAACCTAAGAGGAAATCTGGGGAGCTTCCAAGAAAGAACATTGAGCGACGTGTCATGTGTGCCTCAACCAGCATGTGCTAGCAAGCGCACGTATGCGAGAGCCAAGTGTTGTAACAAGATATGAGCTGCTCCATATATTCATACCAAGACATGCGGGACATAGCGCTTTCAACTTCTTGAGCAAAAGAGATTTTTTGCTTCTCATGGCCGAACAATGTTTACGCTGGCCCTTTTGGAAAAGAATGGTCTTTACGTCTTTACCACAAGAACCCATTTTCAAAAGGGAAAAGCATATGAAGTGTAAATATAATGAGCAAATCAAATTCCAAGTCTTACTGACAAGCAGTAACAAAATTCCTTATACGTTAAGATATGACCCATTCGGGTTTTGGAAGACAATAGCGACATATAAGGACATTGGACATTGTTAAGAATAGCGACCTTGAACTCTTTCCTACCCTCTCAAAACAAGAGGGTTTCTCAAAGACAAGAGTTCTTGAGCTGTGCAGGGGTGGGCTGTCACAGGTGAGCAAGACCTCCCTACCCAGGTTCTGAACGGGGTTTGGCAAGAATAAGTAAGCACATCAAGGGTAGCGTATATGCGTATATGATCCGTTTTTGTCGTAGTTTCCGAAACTAAGGGGAACCCCAATATAGACCCCGAAAAACTACAGTCCGTATTATGGTATCCATAAATTTGGGAAACCCCCATGTATGTGTGTTTGCAAGTACATGGGAACCTGGCCTCAAGCTACTTGGGTTTATTGCCACTACTTAGGGCTTGGGGGCGG